CACACCAAAAACAACAAACAGCAAAAGCACGTAGACATACGGTAAGGAACAGGCTGTTTTTCTCTTTGCTGGTTGTTAGTCCAAATACCACGAGACAGGGGCCTCCTGAATTCCATTAAACCTTTTCCAATATTATTTTGGGATCATTTTTCATTACAACAGAAACCTGTTCCAGTAAAATGTTTAGTGCAAACAATTCATCAGCATATTTTTAAAGTTTTTCCATCCCGCTTACCCTCAGTGTGTCGAAATGTTTTTGGTCACCTTACAGAACTGTAAGAATTCATAGCCAGTGTTCACAGTTTCTTTTAAGTTTGCTTTGGCTTTTTGAATATGTCATTCATTATGGTGCCTTTATTTGCTCATGGGATTTATCTTTGTTCTGCCTTACATTACAGAATTTGCTGCGTCATTTAAAGTCATTTAAGGTTAGATAACTTTTCTTTTTTTTTTCCTTACGTAAAATTATGAGAAACTGGACTTCCACAAAAGATGATTTCATTTTTTGTAAAACACCCACATGCATTTCATCTCATAGTATTTACTCAACACTGATCACAGTTTATTCAAAGCATACTTCAGCATTCCCAAAATAAAAAGTGAGTAATAAATATAATGCATTAAAAAGCCAGGGTGAAGGGTTCAAGTGTCAGAGTGACTTGCTGAAATGTTTCAGAATAAATGATTAACTTTAAAAAAAAAATTATGCTAATATTAAAAAGTACAAATAAAAAAAACCTTTAGGAAAAGCTCTTATATTTTTTCCCAACCTTTCCCTGAGACTTTATGCTTTCACATTTACCTTAAATGCTTGTGTTTCAGTTATAATGTTTGGTGAGAAACTACCAACTTCAAACCATTATTAATAAACAAGTTGAAATTCTACAAAAATGGTTCTCCCAACCTTGAACATCAGCTCTTACTTATCTGTTCTCACCTAAAACTGTAAGGGTAGTGTTGACCCTAATTTGTGGGACAGATGTGACGGATCTAAGGGTGAGCGCTCCAATGAGGATGTTGACAGACGCCCTCCTACTGTGATTTGTAAAAACCGCAACCTGGCCAAGCCAAGTAAGGATGAGGAACTTTCCTGCTTGCTTCCACTTGCTTCTTATCTGCAGGTGTTATAGGTCATCTGGGTTTCATGCTTGTCAAACTTCTCAGAAAGGTGATACAATTTTTAGAAAACTGTATTATTTCAGACAACCAATTATTTTCACACACTAAGAAATACTCTTTCCCACGTTGGATGTGAAGCACAGGCAAACCATTATGCCCCTCTCAATAGCACTGAGTAAACAGCGGGTGTATTGTTTGAGCTATGACGGGACGAAGTTCAGCATCTGAGCAAACCTGTGCTGTGTATACTGGCCAAACAGAAGATGTGATTGATGTATAGGTCATTTGTAGATTTTAAAGGTAAGTGTGAGGGGCCCTGTTGACATGAAATTATAGTCTTAACTCTTTAGTTCCCTATTGCTGATCACTATTCAGAGTCCTAGAAAAGAAAAAACAACATTTGATGAGCCATGGCAGAGTTTTATAAAAAACCTTATTTTTTTTTTACAAACAAATATGATGTAGTATAGCTGCATCATGCATTTGATAATGGTTTTTGTACACCATTTTAATGCTAAGGGTGAAATGGTGGGTCTAATTTCAGCCAGTGAATTCAATACTTTGTAGTTTAATCTACAAATTTTTGACATAACCAATAGCCAATAGTTAGCTAGCTAATCAATCAAATGTAATGGACTTAAAAGCTAAGCTAGGTACTTAATCATGTTTCACTATTTGGTTTGAATAAAGTATGAACTACCTGTCAGACTTCTGCATTAATATTTTTAACATCGCTGTCATCATGTGACTTTAATATATCTGGTGTAATATGTTTTGAATTCATCATATACAAAGTTCTGTTGTACTTTTTAAAACAAGTATATTGTATGATACATCTGAAAAACAAAGTAAATGTCAGACCATGTAAATAGAATGAGAACAACAAAAACAACAATAAATAAGTAGAAAATGGTAATAAAATGTTAATGAGGAAGAGGAAGAGCTTCTGCTTGATACCCTCATATGAGGAGTTTATATTACAACACCCATATTATCAGAAATCACTTTTCCCATAAACAGGTAGCGTCATCCTTCCTTACTTGGCACGGAGCCTGAAGGGAAAGAAGGGAACGAAACAGAAACATTTGATGGAGGCCTGACATCATCTCAAAAAAAAAAACAAAACTTCAGTGTGAGCAGGTGTGAGCAGATCATGGATCCTTGGGTGGCACACCTAGTCAGATTCAATATTTGTTACAGTCAGCCTCAGGTCTGCAGAACCTAGGATAACATAAGATAAGATAACCTTTATTTGTCCCACACGTGGGAAATTTGTTTTGTCACAGCAGAAAGTGGACAGTGCAAAGTTATATAGCAAAAATTAGAGAATCATGAATACAATAAGAATAATATACTGTACACAACTGTACAGAATAGAATAAATAAAATAAAATACTATATACATAGAATAAAATAAATAAAATATCACAATAGGTTAAAAATAGAATACAAATGCTATATACAACTGAAGTAAAAATACAACTTTGTCAGAAAAGAGTATTGCACTTGTGTTATTGCACATGTGTGGGTTTGTGTGTTTGATCAGTGCAAAAGTCTTTGTTGTGGAGTCTGACAGCAGTGGGGAGGAAAGACCTGCGAAATCTCTCCGTCCCACACCGTGGGTGCCGCAGTCTCCCACTGAAGGAGCTGCTCAGTGCTGTCACAGTCTCCTGCATGGGGTGGGAGATGTTGTCCAACAGGGATGACAGCTTAGCCACCATTCTCCTGTCACTCACCACCTCCACTGGGTCCAGAGGGCATCCTAGAACAGAGCTGGCCCTGCGGATCAGCCTGTTCAGTCTCTTCCTATCCCCAGCAGAGATGTTGCCACCCTCAGCAGACCACACCTAAAAGATGGAGTTGTGAGAGAAGTCTGCAGTGTAGATGGTGAAGACAAACAGAGCCAGAACCGTTCCCTGTGGGACAAAAGTATTCGGCCCCTTGAACTTTTCCACATTTTGTCACATTACAGCCACAAACATGAATCAATTTTATTGGAATTCCACGTGAAAGACCAACACAAAGTGGTGTACACGTGAGAAGTGGAACGAAAATCATACATGATTCCAAACATTTTTTACAAATAAATAACTGCAAAGTGGGGTGTGCGTAATTATTCAGCCCCCTGAGTCAATACTTTGTAGAACCACCTTTTGCTGCAATTACAGCTGCCAGTCTTTTAGGGTTTGTCTCTACCAGCTTTGCACATCTAAGACTGAAATCCTTGCCCATTCTTCTTTGCAAAACAGCTCCAGCTCAGTCAGATTAGATGGACAGCGTTTGTGAACAGCAGTTTTCAGATCTTGCCACAGATTCTCGATTGGATTTGATCGATCTGGGCCATTCTAACACATGGATATGTTTTGTTTTAAACCATCCATTGTTGCCCTGGCTTTATGTTTAGGGTCGTTGTCCTGCTGGAAGGTGAACCTCCGCCCCAGTCTCAAGTCTTTTGCAGACTCCAAGAGGTTTTCTTCCAAGATTGCCCTGTATTTGGCTCCATCCATCTTCCCATCAACTCTGACCAGCTTCCCTGTCCCTGCTGAAGAGAAGCACCCCCAGAGCATGATGCTGCCACCACCATATTTGACAGTGGGGATGGTGTGTTCAGAGTGATGTGCAGTGTTAGTTTTCCGCCACACATAGCGTTTTGCATTTTGGCCACAAAGTTCCATTTTGGTCCATTTTGGAATTAATCTTTTTTTGAATATCTTTTTGTTTCAATAATTTAAAAGAGAAAGTACATAACAGACATAACATAAAACACCAACCTACATTTTCTAGTTTATAATTAAACACAGGAAGATATATATACATATACTACAGAGTTTGCAGCATTTCAACTGAAACTACAATGAGGTTAACATGCAAAGGTTGGTTTCTTTTACAACAAAATGAAAGCAGATGTTTTAGTTTCATTTTCCCCACCTATTCTTACGCCTGACAAAGCAACTGAGATATGACAAAAGAAGAAAAGAGAAAAACAAAGGTAAAAACCTCAGTCTCTCTCAGTTTGCTTAGCGTGGTTGTCTTCTCTGCATTAATTGTTCACTTTCAAAGGAACATGAAACAGATTGTTGAATCGCTGACCACATGCGCAGGATTGACGTCACACAGTTTGTTTATCAAGCTGACTTTACAAAAGTAATTTTTCACTGAAGGAGTTACGTCCCAGCGAAAGAATTTTTAATAAATCTTGAGGTTTGTTTTTGAAAAAAACAAAACAGTCAGAGTACTTATTGCAATATCATTCACAGAAATATTTTACATTTTATGTTCCACTGTCCTTGAAATCCAGTGCTTCTGTGTTGTTAGTGACACCTTGTGGTTAAATTAAATTAATTACAGTGTACGTTTTAATTACAAATGGCTTGTAATTAAAACGTACACTATAAAGGAGCATAAAGGAAATCATGTGTCAACTTTAATTGTTAAATAGGAATCAACTCCAACTGTGACTTAATGCACATAATTGATTTTTCATATGCGAGTTCAGATGTTTTACAAAAATTCATAAGAAAAAACCACTGCTTCTACTTTTCTAACATTTGACATCACATATGTTTCTTTTGCACGGATAATAATAAAAAGAATAAGCTGCTGCAGAAATAAATAGCGTGGAAAATATTCACACTAAAACCCCCAAATCGAATTTATGTTGTTTTTCTCTGGAGTGTAAGTCTGAGTTGAAAAGTTTGGTAGATATCAGCTGCATTTAGTTGTAGTAACTATTCTATGATAATCCATGGTGTAGTCATGTGTTTATTTGGGCATAAAGCTGATACTGGGGTGAACTGTCTCTTTAAAGTGAATATAAGTATACTGTTTCTAGAGCCCAACCCAAGAGGACCCACATTCCCA